AACAATTTGTACTTCAACAGACATCACCAAGAAAGTGAAAAGACAATCCACAGGATGTGAGAAATGTTGACAAGTCATATATTTGACAACAGACTTGTATCCAGAATATATAAAGAACTCTTACAACTCAGTAATAAAAAGACAAACGACCCAATTAAAAAATGGACAAAAGATCTGAATAGATTTTCTCCAAAGAAGGATAGACAAATGGCCCATAACTATATGAAAAGATGCTCAGCATTTTTAGTCAATAGAGAAATGCAAACCAAAACCACAATGAGCTATCACTTGACACCCACTACGATATCTGTAATGATAAAGAGAGACAATAACAAGTTTTGGTAAAAATGTTCAGAAGTTAAAACACTCATATATTGCTGGCGGGAAAGTAAAATATTATAGCTACATTGGAATACAATTTGGCAATTTGTTGAAATGTTAAACACAGAGTTACCATATGACTCAGCAGTTACACTCCTAGATATATACCCAAGTGAAATGAAATCATATGTCCACACGAAAACTTGTGCATAAATGTTCACAGCAGTATTATTCATGATAGCCAGAAAGTAGAAACAACCTAAATTACTACCAAATAATGAATAGATAAACAAAATGTGTTTTACCTATACAATGGAATATTATTCATCACTATAATAGAATGAGGTAGTGATACATACTACAACATGAATGAACCTTGAAAACATTATGCTAAGTGAAATAAGCCAGGAACAAAAAAACCACAAAGTGTATGAGTACATTTTTATGAAGTGTCTACAATAGACATATCCATTGAAAGTTTATTAGTGGTTACTATGGTTTTAATGTTTGTGTCCTCCCCATAGGTTTCATATGTTGGAACCTAATCCCCAATACAACAGTATTTAGAGATGGGGCCTTTAGGAGGTAATTTGGTCATGACAGCAGAGCCCTCATGAATGGGGATTAGTGCCCTTTTGAAAGAGGTCTAGGTAGTTAGCTAACTACTTCTGCCACATAAGTACACAATGAGAAGGCACCATCTCTGAAGCAGAGACTGAGCCTTCTACAGACATCAGATATGCTGGAATCTTGATCTGTGACATACCAGCCTCTAAAATTGTGAGAAATAAATTTCTGTTATTTATAAGCTACCCATTCTATGGTATTCGGTTATAGCAGCCCAAATGGACTAAGACACTGCTGTATCAAATTACCACAAACTTAGTGACTTTAAAACTACACAAATTTATTATCTTATAGTTCTGGAGGGTAGAAGTCTGAAATTTTTCTCACTGGGCTAAAAGCAAGGTGTCAGCAGGGCTGTTTTTCCTGTAGGCTCTACAGAAGAATCCATTTCCTTTGTATTTTCCAGCTTCTAGAGGCCTTTCTAAAGTTTCCCTGCATTCCTTGGCCCATAGCCCTATTATTCTATCTTCAAGGCCAACAATGTCAGTCAGAGTCCTTATGTTGCTGTGTCTTTGGTTCTTTCTTCTGCCTCTCTCTTCCACTTATAAGGACCCTTGTGATTCATTGGGTACACCTGGATAATCCAGAATAATCTGCCCATCTCAGCATTAACTGATTAGCAACCTTTAGGTCCATTTGCAACCTAAATATCTCTTTGCCATGTAACCTATTCATAGGTTCTGTGGTTTAGGATATGGATATTTTTAGGGACCATTTTTCTGCCTACCACAACCAATTTTATACAACTTTTTCAATGAAAGAGAAAGAGAAAACACCATTTTTTTTATGAGACTAGTATAACCCTGATACCAGAATCTGACAAGGACATTACAAGAAAATTAGAGGCCAACATCTCATGTGAATAGAGATACAAAAGCCCTAAATAAAAAAGCCGCAAATGGAATTGAGCAGTATACATGGGTACTTCCAAAAGTTCATGGAAAGATTCATAATATCTTTTAATTCTACTTTCCACAAATTTTTTGAAGTTCTCTTGTTTAAAATGGTAATACATCATGACCATTTCAGGGAGTATTCCAGGAATGTAAAGTGTGTTTAACATTTAACACAGCATTAATAGAATAAAGGAGAATAATCATATGGTAATCTTAGTTGACGCAAAGAAAGCATTTGATGTAGGTTTATTTGGTAAATTTGATAATTACTTGTAATTTAAAAATTTAAGTAAATTGGGAATAGAGGGAACATCCTTAGTCTGATAAACAGTATCTACCAAGAATGTATTGCAAACATAATGCCTAATGATGAAATGTTGAGTGCTTTTTTCCTGACTTTAAAAACATAATAAAGATGTCCAATATCAACACTTGTTTCCAACATTTTCCTGGAATTTTTAGACAGTGAATTAAGAAAAGATAAAGAAATAAAAAGGAATAAATATTGGAAAGGAAGATGTAAACCCTTTATCAGTAGATTACCTTTTTGTATAAATAGAAAATCTACATGAATAAAAATATAGTAAAATGAGTAATAAAAACATTTTGCAAGGTTGCTGGATACATAATAATTAAGTGTATTACTCTCTACTATTGGAAAATGAAATAATTGGAAAATGAAAGCCAACACCATTTATAAGAGTTGACTGGTTAGCTAAGTTGGTTAGAGCATAGCTCTGATAACACTAAGGTCCAGGGTTTGACCCCTGTACCAGCCAGCTGCCTAAATAAATAAATAAAATAAAACAAAATAAAAAACACCACTTACAGCAACATGAAAAGCCATCTATTGATTGCTAGAGATAAATCTAATGAAAAACATGCAGTACTTTTATACTTCTTGACTTTAGACTGGGGAAAGATTTCCATAATCAGACACAAAAATATTCACCATATGGGATTACATGAATAAATTTGACTACTAAAAATTAACAATTTCTCTTTATCAAAAAATCATATATAAAGAACTGAAAAGAAAATATAAAATCTGATAAAGAACTAGAATTCAGCTATATAAAGAATTGTAAGTCATTGGAGGAATTATAGACAACTGTATTAACTTTCTGTTGCTGCACATCAAATTACCACAAATATAGCAGTTTCTGTGCATCATGAGTCCACAGAGAGCTTAGCTGAGTCCTCAGCCTGTGATGTCATAAGGCTGTAATCAAGGTGTTGGCTCAGCCGTGTTCTTATCTGGAGGATCAACTAGGTATGAATCAGCTTCCAAGCTCATTCAGGTTGTTATCAGAATTCATTTTCTTTGATTCTGGCTTTTTGATGGCTATTGGCTGGAGTCCACCCTCAACATCTAGAGGCTGCCCACAGTTCCTTATCACATGTTCTTCCTCAATATGGCTGATTACTTCATGAAGCCAGGAAGGAGAATCTCTAGAGTTAGTCTGCTAGCAAGATAGTGACCATAACCTAACATAATTATGGGAGTGACTTCCCATCATTCTTCTGTTGATAAGCAAAGCAGACTTACCCACACTCAGCATGAAGGGATTATACAAGACATGAACACTAGGAGGCAGGGATTAATGGGACTTCCTTATAGTCTATCTGTCACAACAACCTAATAGAAAAATGAGCAGAAGTCTTGTACGAGCACTTCAGAAGAGACTACAAGTGGCATACAAACATGAAAGGTGCTTAACTTCGTTAGTAATCAAGAAATAAAGATGTGAAAGTACAATGTCCTCTACTTATCAAATTGGCAAAAGGTAAAGAATATCTATATGTTCTATAGGTATATACATATATGTCTGTAGGTATATAGACATATAGATATATAGAGTGAGTATATAAGGGATTGACACACAATTGTGAGGGCTAGAAAATCTGAAATTTTTAGGTCAGGCTGGCAGGCTAGAAATTCCAGCTGAAGTTGATGTTTCAGTCTTGAATCTGAAGGCAGTCTGGAGGCAAAATTTCTTCCTCTTGGGGAGACCTCAGTCTTTTCTCTTCAACTAATTGGATGAGACCCACCCACATAATACAAATTAATCAGCTTTACTAAAAGTCTACAACTTTGAATGTTATTCACATCTAAAAAATATCTTCACAGCAACATCTAGACTAGTGTTTGACTAAACAACTTGACTAAACAACTGGGTACCATAGCCTAGCAAAATTGATACCATCACACACATCCAGAAAGGCCTTAAAATGTTGTTGGTCCTTAAATACTGTAAATAACAGTAATTAACAGTAACAGAGCTTTCCTCTCTGAATCATACTTTACTTGGATCTTTATTTCCAAATAAAATTTTAAATCTGCCTACCTTTCTCCAGGTATATCCAGACTGCCTTAGTTCAAAGCACTCAGCAAAGATTTTTGGAAAAAATCAACAGGATCAGAGACTCATACTGTGTGTTCCTGAAGCTCTGTTTTTTTCTTATTTTAGCACTTAGCACTTAAAAAAAATAATAATGGCGTATAGAGTATATTCTCCATTATACTCCCGATTTATTGAGTTGCAGGGATGGTATCTTTTTCTCCATTGTGAAACCCAGCACATTTTCTATTTCTATATTGCTATAGTAGGCTCTCAAATATTTGCTGAATGAATGAATAAGCTGTAAATGTTTGAATGTATTTTTTAAAGGGATCTTCCGTTGTGTTAGCATATAAATTGATCATATCCTCAACTTGCTTAATGCTATTAAGAACTTTTGTTCTTTAATAAAATTAAATTTTACTGAATTGGAAAAAATTCAATAAAATTTGGTAGGATGCTTTGCTTATGTGGATAATCAAGATGGTAGGAACACAAAATGTGAAACGGAAAGACCAATATGAATAAGGAAAATTTGTGCCACATAGTGTATACATTCTATTCATACTCTTTATATTTAGCTGTTGTGTACTATTTTGCCAGAGGATGTTTACTCAGCTGTCATTGATGATGACAAATATGATAAACATTGCTTAAATTCTAGAATGTCTTGAAGCCCCATGTAGAAATTTATCATTTAATTGTAAATACTTTGCTTTCTTTAAGGAAGAAAGATGCTCTTAAATACACAAACATATACAATAAACACGTAGACATTTATATTTACCTGTCTCCTTTCTTTTAATTTTTTAAGGTGCTTTCCCCATCCTGAATCCTGTGAATTCTCCTAGCCATGGACCAGTGACTGCTGGCTCTCTAAGTAATCAGTCAACCATAGAATTTCCTGATACTACTGATTTTCTTACTAAGCCAAGTGTTATTTTACATAGATCTCTGGGCAATGTACCCAATACACCAGATTTTTATCAGCAACTTAGAAATTCTGATAGCAATCTGTGTAACAGGTAAGTTTCCCAAGTGCTTATTATTTCTTACTCAAAATGTAGATTGTTTTAATAAAGTATTACCAGTTTTCTAGTTCTGTATTTTAACTAGATGATAGATGAACACTGTATTCTCTTTATTTATCTAGTAGTTTTTATTATAAATATTTTCTCATTTCAGTGCTATTATTAATTTTCTAATTAAATCATTTCCACGTGAGGGGAAATAATGGTATTCTTCCCATTATAACATATCAGTGAATATAGAGAGAATTATTTTAGTATACACTACTTTACTGCCTATTCATAATACCCAGTATATATGGTGTTTAATCTCATTCCTGCTTTGATAGTAGTAAGTGTTTACCTCAGACCCCAATGTTGATTTTCTTTTTTTAAAAAAATTTTTGTTTTGTTTTTATTGGTTATGAATATTCATGGAGTACAACGCAAAATATGCTATTTCCTTTTTTTCCGGCAGCTGGCCAGTACAGGGATCTGAACCCTTGACCTTCATGTTACAAGATGGTGCTCTAACCAACTGAGCTAACTGGCCAGCCCCGTCAAAATACGTTATTTCTTTCAGGGACACACAGATGCTTTCTAGGATAAAGCCTTTTAAGATTATAGATTGGAATATTAGGATGTGTTGCAGTTGGGATCTTGGTTAAATATTCAATAGATCATCAAATTATGTTTAGGTAAAAAAAATTTACCTCATTTATCATATATTTTTATCTACTTTATTCTACAAGCTGTGGACATCAAATACTGAAATATATTTCAACATCTGATTTGGATGGTGCAGACTGCCATAGTGGAAAACCAGGTGAGAGTGCACAAGTCATATGTGTTTGAGTTTAAGAGCGATTTCTTACAGTGTTTTTAGAATGGATAAATGAGAGGGTTTAATAACAAATGCTGGCAAGGATGTGGAGAAAAGGGAACTCTTCTACACTGTGGGACTGTAAATTGGTACAGCGATTATGGAAAAAGTATGGAGGTTTCTCAAACAACGACAGATAGAACTACCATATGATCCAGCAATCCCACTTCTGGGTATATACCTAAAGGAATGGTAATCATCATGTTGAAGGGATACCTGCACTCACATATTCATTGCAGCTCTATTTACAATAGCAAAGAGTTGGAACCATCCTAAATGGCCATCGACGGATGACTGGATAAAGAAAATATGGTATATACATACAATGGAATACTATTCAGCCATAAAAAACAAAGAAATTCTGCCATTTGCAGCAACATGGATGAGCTTGGAGAAAATTATGTTAAGTAAAATAAGCCAGCCACAGAAAGAGAAATACCACATGTCCTCACTCATAAGTGGGAGCTAAGAAACAAAGAAAGAAAGAAAGATCATAAGAAAGTGTTGATCTTTCAGAAGGAGAGAACAGACCTATAGTTACTAGAGGTGGGAAAAGGGGAGGGGACGGGGGTATAGATAGTAACTGGGTAAGGGACACAAAAAATAATTGTGATTTGTAATGATGAACATGCTAATAATATTGATTTGATCATCACATACTGTACATAAATACCGATAGTCAACTCTGTACCCCATAAATATGTATAAATAAAACTAATAAAAAATTTTTAAAAAGATAATGTTTTTATCTACTTCCCAGAGGAATTATTAAGAACAAATTATAATAATAGATGGTGAAAGTATTTTGAAGAGTAAAAAATGTGCTGTACAAATGAATGTAGTCTTCTTAAGTTATGCCTAGGGTTCATAAATAGTGAAATTATTTATATTAACATTGAAATTTATACTGTACAATCTAAGCCGAAAAGGGTTTGCATAAATTTTTTATGGCATAGAGAGGAGTTGTTTTAAAATTTGATTAATTATGGGGCCGGCCCGGTGGCGCGCTGCTACAGTGCGCCGCTTGGGAGTGTGGTGGCGCTCCCGCCGAGGGTTCGGATCCCACGTACAGACCGGTTCCCGCTCACTGGCTGAGCGAGGTGTGGGAGTAACACCGAGGGTTGTGATCCCGTTGCCGGTCCCGGTCCGGTATGGGCGCGACACTGAGGGTTGCGATCCGTTGCTGGACACGAAAAAAGACAAAAAGGGGAAAAAAAAATTTGATTAATTATATCATTCTGAAATATCTTATATCCTCAAGCAAGAAATATTATAATTATAGTTGTTTTACAACTTTAAAAAAATTGATGACTCAAACTACCAGTAATAGTTTACTAGGTAACTCATGCCAACATTTCCCCTGACAGCATCTAGAAAAGCTGGACAAACTACTTTTTAAAAAAAAATCTACTTGAGGTCATTGAAGAACTGTCAAACTCCTCAAAATTACTAGTACAAGGGCTCGCCCCGTGGCTCACTTGGGAGAGTGTGGGGCTGGTAGCGCCAAGGCTGCAGGTTCAGATCCTATATAGGGATGTCCGGTGAGCTCGCTGGCTGAGCATGGTGTGGACCACACTGTGCCGAGGGTTGTGATCCCCTTACCGGTCCAAAAAAAAAAAAAAAAAAATTACTAGTACAAGACCTGGAGGCCAATAGAAGTCCTAAGAAAGTGAACTCGGAGTATAAGGCTACCAAAAGGATGTTTGCCAATTCTGAAGGGGCCAGTAACTGATAGAATAAGCAGTCCTTTTGGTAGCTGCATGGGACTAGGGAGACAGAGATTGGAGCTGAAGGCTTGCCATGGTAGGGACCACCTGGTAAACTGAAATGCTACACCCTAGGGAAAAAGGTAAACCAGAAATAGATAGTCTCTTCCAAGGATTATAGACTTATATTAGTCCCTTTACATCCCATAAAATTTACCCTTTTAAGGTGTGCAATTCAATAGTTTCTTGTTTTTTATACTTTAAAGGGTTGTTTAAAGAAACAAACAAACAAAAACCAGTCCTTCACATACTTTTTCAAAAAATAGGAGAGAAAATTTCCCAACTCATTATATGGGACCAGAATCACCCTGACACTATTTAACCAGACAAAGGCATCACAAGGAAAGAAAACTACAGACCAGTATCCCATGTATGTATATATATATATAGAGAGAGAGAGAGAGAGAGAGAGACACACACAAAAATCTTAACAAAATACTAGTAAACTGAATCCAGCAATATCAAAAAGTAACACCACGACGAAGTAGTATTTATCTCAGGAATGCAAGGGGAGAGAGAGAGAGAGAGACACACAAAAATCTTAACAAAATACTAGTAAACTGAAATCCAGCAATATCAAAAAGTAACACCACGACGAAGTAGTATTTATCTCAGGAATGCAAGGGTGGCTGAACATTTGGAAATCAATCAATGTAATACAACATAATAATAGAATAAAGTGAAAAAACCCACATGGCAATTTCAATGGATGCAGAAAAAGCATTTGAAAAAATCCAGTACTTTCTTATGATAAAAACACTCAAACTAGTAATAGCAAAGAAGTTCCTCAACCTGATAAAAGGTATCTTTGAAAAACACACAGCTAAAACATCATTCATAATGAGAAAAACTGATGTTTTCACCCTAAGATCAAGAATAAGATAAGGATTTTTGCCATCTGCACTTCTATTCAATGTTGTACTAGAAAGTCTAGCCAGGGAAATTAGAAATAAAAAAAAAATCCACCCAGAATTTAAAGGGAGCAATAAAACTGTCCCTATTCGCAGATCATGTGAGTGTACTTCAAAAGTTCATGGAAAGATTCATATTATCTTTTAATTCTATTTTCCATGAGCTTTTTGAAGTACCCACATATAGTCCTTTATGTAGAAAATCCCAAAGAACACACATTACACAAACACACAAACTACTAGAACCAATAAACAAATTCAACAAAATCACAAGACACAAGACCAGTATACAAAAATTAATTGTATGAGAGTACTTCAAAAAGTTTGTGGAAAGATTCATATTATCTTTAATGCTATTTTTCTGCAAGCTTTTTGAAGTATCCTCATCTTTGTATATACGAGTAATGAACTATCATAAATTGAAATTAAGAAAATGTTTCTATTCACAATAGTGTCAAAAAGGATAAAGTTGTTAGGATAAACTTAACAAAAGAAGTGTAAGATATACACTGAAAACTATAAAACATCATTTAGGAAAATTAGAGAAACTATAAATAAACTGAGAGGCATTTTGTAGTAATAGATTGGAAGACTCAGTATTGTCAACATGACAATTCTGCCAAATTGATCTATAGATTCAGTGCAGTTCTTATTAAATTCCAGCAGGCTTTTTTTTTTGGATAGAAATTGACAAGTCAGTGTTAAAATTGTTGTGGAAATACAGATGATCTATAATAGCCAAAATAGATTTGAAAAAAATACAACAAAGTTGGAAGACTTAGACTGCTTGATTTTATAAAGTCAGTATAATTAAGATACTGTGGTATTGGCACAAGGATGAGCCTGTGCCAATTAATAGAAGAGAACTGAGAGTCCAAAAGGAAATTTTTATATTTATAGTCAATTGATTTTCAACAAAGAAGCCAATATAATTCAAAAGGGAAAGGATAGTTATTTCAACAAATGGAACCAGGATGATTAGATATCCACTTACCAGAAAAAGAACTTGGATCTTTGCCTCACCAAATATACAAAAAGTAACTCAAAATCTATCATATCATCACAGACTGTACACAGGTGTTGATATTCAATACTGTACCCCACAAATATGTATACTCAATTATATTTCAGTAAAAAAATATATATATATATGTATATAAAACACAATTTTTAAAAACAGGATAGAAGGAGAAGAGTGAATGTAAAGTAGAATATTGCTGATTATTTCATAGGTATTACTTTGGGATTAAAATATTAATTAAAAAATCAATCATAGACCTAAGTATAAAAACTAAAACCATGAAACTTCTAAAAGAAAATATAGGACAGAATTTTTGTGATCTTGGGTTGAGTAAAGCATTCTTAGATACAATACCCAAAACACAATCTATTAGAGAAAAAAATTGACAAATTGGGTTTCAGCAAAATTTAAAAGTATTGCATTTCAAAAGACACCAATAAGAAAGTGAAAAGATAAAGCACAGATTGAGAGAAAATATTTATAAATTATGTGCTTAAATAAGGATTTGTACCCATGATATATAAAGAACTCTTACAATTCAATAATAATAAATCAAACTACTCTTAAAAAATGGACAAAAGATTTTGGTGAAAGTCATTTGGTGGAGATAAATGAATAGGTAATGAAAAGATGATAAACATCATCAATCATTAGGGAAACACAAATTAATACTACAATGAAGTAGCACTATACTTGTTAGAATAGCTATAATTTAAAAGGGCAGTCGATACCAAGTGCTGGCAATGACACAGAGAAATCGGGACCCTTGTGCACTGCAGATGTGAATGTAAAATGTTGTAACCACTTTGGAAAACATTTTGACAGCTTTAGAAAGTTACACATAAATTTACCATATAACATAGTGATACCACAGCTAAGAATCTACTCAATAGAAAACATGAGCATTCACAGACAGGTTTGTGAATGCTTATAACATCATTATTTATGATAGTGCAAACTGGGACATCAACTAGTGAATGGATAAACATCATGTGGTATATCCATAACAATGGAATTCTCTTTAGCAATTAAAAGAATGAACTTCTGGGCCGACCCCGTGGTGCACTTGGGAGAGTGCGGCGCTGGGAGCGCAGCGACGCTCGCCGCAGGTTCGGATCCTATATAGGAATGGCTGGTGCGCTCACTGGCTGAGCGCGGTGCGGGTGACACCACACCAAGGGTTGCGAAAACCTTCCCGGTCACGAAAAAGACCAAAAAAAAAAATAAATAAAGGAATGAACTTCTGAAACATACAACATGGATGAACTTCAGAACATTATTCTAAGTGAAAGAAGCAAGGCTCAAAACATTATATATTATATAATTACTTTTATATGAAATTCTCAAAAGGCAAATTTATAGAGACAATAATGAGAACAATGTTGCCTAAGGTGAGAATAGGGGTTAAATGTAAATTGTCATGAAGAAACTTTTCTGGTGATGAGAATGTTCTGAAACTGGATTGTCATGGTGGTTGCATAACTGTAAATTTACTAAAATTGTTGTGTTGTACATTTTGATTATGGGCTTAAATGTTTGTATTTCCCCAAATTCATATGTTGAAATCTTAACCCCCAATGTGATGTTATTCGGAGGTGGGGCCTTTGGGAGAGCATTAGGTCATGAGGGCGGAGCCCTCAAGAATGGGATCGCTTCTCTCATGAAAGGGACCCCATAAAGTTCTCTAGCCCTCTTTTCTGCCATGTGAGGATGCTATGAGAAATTGGCACTCTGCAAGCTGGAGAGGGCCCTCACGAGAACTCAACCATGCTGGATGGACTCCAGGCCTCTGAAACTGTAAGAAATAAACATCTGTTGTTTATAAGCCATTCAGTTATGGTATCCTGTTATAGCAGCCTGAAATAAGACTACTCAATGGTATCTAATTATACTTAAAACTTTTAAAAAAGAATAACAATTTATTGATTGATTAGTCCTAGCTGGGATATTCTCACTTGAGGACTTTCATATGTTTGCAGTCAGATATTGGCCAGGATGACAGTCAACTGAAGGACTGACTGGGCTGAATTCCCAAGATGGATTACTCATGTATCTATTGGCTATTGACCAGTTCATCTAAATATGGCTTTTCCATGGGCTTCTTCTAATTTGTTGGCTGGATTCCAAGAGAGGAGAAAGTGGAAGCTGCCAGTCCAGTTAATGGCTCAACCCAGAAGAGGCAAAGTGTTACTTCTGCCATATAATGTTAATTAAAGCAGTTGTGAGGCCTTTTAAGATTCCAGGGAATTAGTAAATAAATGCTCTCTCTTAATGGAGGAGTGACATGAATAAATTAGAAAAGTGTGTGGGATAAGAGTCTTGTGGACATCTTTGGAAAAGAAGTAGGTACATTTATCTCAACTGGTTTTATTATCATGTGTAAGATATAGTTACTAGGAGTTCAGACCATTAAAAAGTAAATCGTGTAACATACTTCAAATGCCAACAATTTTTAGATTAACTGCTCTTTTAGAATATCGTTATAGTTACTGCCTTAACGTACCAAGAATACTTGAATCTTCCAAATTTCATTTCTTAAATGTAAATAATACTTCGTGATCATCATCAATTATATTTTTTGGTATCTTCAGTGTGTCAGGTTCAGATTTGACTAGCATTTATCTGTCACCTAGTATGTGTAACATTTAGTAAGATAGTTGTTATTATCCACATTTTACAGGGGGGAAAGTTTGTAATTATTAAATACAAAAATCAGGATTTGAACCTAGTTCTTCTGAAACTCAACTCCAAATGAATGCTATTAAGAACTCTTTTTACTTCAAAAAAATTTTTTTAAACTCTACATATTGAAATGTACACAGATCATGAGTTTAGAGCTTGATGAATTTCTATATACTGTGCAGTTAGCATCCAAATCAAGAAACAAAATATTATCAGCACCTCAGTATGTACCTTCATGCCCCCTTCCAGCCATAAACCTCAAAGGAAATGATCTTGTCTTTCAGAACTTATATGTACCAGTTTTGATATGCTTTTGAATTTTTCATAAAGAGAGTCACAGAGTATCTATCTACCTTTGTGCCTGGCTGCCTTCACTGAACATTATATTTTTAAGAATCATCCATATAGTTATATATGTTCATAATATAGTTATAGTTCATCCTTTTTGCTCTGCAGTGTTCAGTTCTATGACTATTCCACAACTTATTTATTTAATCTACTTTCAGTGGGTTTTGGGAAAGTTTCCCATTTAGGGTATTACAAATAGAACGAATGTGAATGTGTGAATGAATACTATTTGGCTACCAATTCTGCTTCCCTTTTCTATATCATTTGAGAAAACGAATATTATTAATCACATTGGCAGAGAAATAACTCACAATTTACGTTGTGGTTTAAGTTTTACAAGTGGCTTAATCTCATTCATTTATAATTATGAATTTAGACTTTTTATATCTAAAACTGATGTTAGAAATTGTTTATATCAGATTGGTAAGAAAGTTCTGGATAGGAACTTACTTTTTGTGTTTCTCACTTTTATGAAGAATTTCCTCTCTTCTCCTCTTTGATGTATAGGAGATATGTGAGGTGAGTCTACTAGGTGAAATATCTGTGTTGTCTGAGGACAAGGTAGCTGGACAAAATAGTCCAGCAAAATACACCTTAAGGGCATCATTAAGTAATTTAGATTGAACTCCTTTATGGTTCACTTTATCTAAATATTTTTGACAAATAACCTTTTTTCTTATGAAACTGTATGTATAGGGCAAATTTTATTCCTACTTATTACTATATATATTTTTTGAAAGGTGAAGAAGAAAACACCATTTTCTCAAAAGAATCATTCAGTTTTATGGAAACTCAACAAAAAGAGGAAACAGAGAAGAAAGACTGCAGAAAATTATTTTTGGAAAGTGATAATCACCTAACAGAAGAGGCACAGAATGAACAGCAACCAAATGTAAAAGATAAACTTTCAATATAATTATGTTAAGGTGGAATATGATGCTAGTTAGTATTGGTTTCATTATTTTTGCCCAGAAGAAGATTTTTAATGTAATATTTTAAAAGTTTCTACTGAGAGGTTACTATAAGTAAAATAGTGCTAGGGTTACAAATAATTAGTTCTAAACCTAACATCCTAAAGCAACAAACTATATTCATTTTTAAGTGAACACATCTTGTTTAGTTTTATAGTAGATCTATTATTTTCTATTCTGATATTTTCTTCATTGTATATTTTAAAGTACAGAGAACATGTGCACAGTCACTAAAACACAATGAAAATAATCTTATAATAGAAATGTTTTTGTTCATAAAGTTTAAAATTTAAATTTTTTGGAAAGAAAACCCCATCCATTTCTTTTGGGAAGTTATCCTAGTAATAAATGTCTGTATAAGGATATGAATTTCTTTCTCCTACCCTTTGATACCTGCAACTTCTAAAATTAAAATAATGTATTTTACATTTCTGTAGTGATTTGGAAAATTAATATTTTTATTTATAAAAGAAATATATAGATTAATAAGTCTTCTGATGGCCACAAGACATGTTTATAGTTATATGAAGAAAGCACTATACAAGGAGAAGAAATAGAAAGTACAGATAAGAGTATATAGAAAATAGTATTGACCATTTTTTAATGTTCAGTTTTAAGTGTTCTCATTTAGATGTGTGTGGATTTAATAATATTTATAAAACGTAAAGTAAAGTTTTTGTTTTTTTCCCCCATATGTATAAATTGAACAGGAAGCACTATTGGACCTGATTTTAATAGAAGATTATGACTCATTGATAGAAAAGATGAGCAACTGGAATTTTCAAATTTTTGAACTTGTAGAAAAGATGGGAGAGAAATCAGGAAGGATTCTCAGTCAGGTTTGTTTTCAAATCTCTACTTTTTTAGTATGAATAATTTTTTCTCAAATCTTTATAAAAAGTAAAATCTAAATATCTTGTAATATTGGTTTAGGTACTAGTTCACCAAAGATATTGTTCATTGAGTTATTTATTTTTTCAGAAAAACACAATATATTCATATGTTCAGTAAAAGAAATTGTTATATATTATATGTATATTATATAATTAGATAGATGTATATAAATATAGATGAAAAGTAGTTTATTTGCCCATACTAATGGGATTTAATTTAGGCTAAAGAAGTAATAAAGATTTACTTTTTCTTGATCTTGAGGCTGAAAAGTGATCTATTTCTTTTCTTTTTTTTTTTTTTTTTTTTTTTTTTTTTTTTTTTCCG